TTTAAGAAATTGTAATATACATGTATATTTTTATTTTTAATAGATTTTATTTTTATAACAAAATTTTATAATAAAAAATATTAAGATTTTTTGATATTTTAACATAAAATACTTTGATTAAAATTTATTTACAATATTATAAAAATATTAATATATTATTAAAATATTTATTATAAAAATTACAATTTATTATAAAAATATTATATTATAAAAATATTTATTATATGTTTCTATTATTGTATTTATTATAATTTTATAATTAAGAATTATTTAGAAAAATTATTATTTATTTTATTAATATATTTTAATATATTTAATATATTTAATATATTTAATATATTTTATATTTGCTATTTAAATTATTTTTCATTTATTTATATTTTTATATTTTTTATATTTCATTATTTTCATTATCATATCAAATTTTTCTGTAGTAAAAATAACTAAAATAAATATTATATAATTAAATTCAAGGAATTATATTTATATTTATTTATATTTTTTATTTATATTTACTTATATTTATACGATATTACATTATTTTGGACATATATTATGCTTTCATGAGAAGTCACCTTTTTTCTAAATGCGTATCTAAACAGAACACATGATCTTCGTTGTTGTAACGTAGTAAAAAAAACTACCAAAATGTCAAGAAGACATTATCATGTATTTTCGATCGAGTATCGCACAATCTAAACTAAAAATTATATTTTATTAAACATATTTTTCAAGAAAGTATGGCACTTACACGAAATCTTACTTGTAAATTAAAATGCTATTTATTAAAAGTACCGAAAAAAATTTGTTTGTATCACGTAAGGCATATTAGGTAAACGTTTATATATTAATTCATTAATTCAATAAAATAAAATATTAAATATATATATATATTTTTTTTCAAATATATATATAATGAAATTAAATTTTATTAAATTATAATTATATATTGTTAATGTTATATAATTTTTGTTTTCAAAAATATTTTGATTAATTAAAAATTTTATATATAATTTTTTATAACAATTTTATGTAATTTATTTCATATATATATATGTATGTATATATATATATAAATACATATTATATAACTATATATTATCCAAAAATAAAAAATATTAACTTAATACATTATTGTATATTTTAATTTTTTAAAAATTAGACTGATTATATTAAATATATGCGTTTTATATATATATATATATATTTATATAATTATTTATATATAATATATAATATATAATATATTTATTATAGATTGGCAGAAGTAGGAAAATTGGAAACACCAAAATTACAAGGAAAATATGAAACTGGTCAATTAATTCTACACAGAGTATTTGGTTATCGTGGTGTAATATTGTTTCCTTGGACAGCACGGGTTTATGATAGAGATATTCCAAATAAAAAAGAAAGGTAAATTTTTTATTTAATAATTAAGTTTATATTATAAGAAACTATATAAAAATTCTATTTTAATTTAGAAACACAAATGATCATTACAATAGTGTGGGAAAAGAAGTAAAAGGAAGAACTCATACATTTTATCAGGTATTAATTGACCAAAGAGATTATCCTTTTATAGTAAGTATAATTAATGAATATAACACAAGGATATTTTAATCTAGATAATTATTTTTTAATCAAGTATTGAAAAAAAATAATTCATATAAAAAAATTTAACATATTTATTAATAGTTAATATTAATATTTTAAAAATATTTTCTACACAAAAATGAAAAAATATAGAAATTAGACTTTTTAATTTTCTAGAGTAGAATATCTTTTTAGATATATAGAAAAAAAATTGATATTATAAATCATTATCATATATTTACATGTGTAGCGTGCTCAAACAGAAGCTGTAACCTTTTTGAGTAATCATGAAAGTAGTCATAGTTTATATACAGTACCAGGATTGGATTATGTTGCTCATGAAGATATTTTACCGTATACTACAAACGAAAAAACTGCATTGCAGCATGAATTATTTGACAAATTCTTAGCATATAATCCCAATCAAGAGCCATGTTTTGTGGCACAAGAAACACTCAGAGCATGGCAAAAAAAAAATCATCCATGGTTGGAATTATCAGATGTACATAAAGAAACTACTGAAAATATTCGTGTTACTGTTATTCCATTTTATATGGGTTATAGAGGAAATCAAGCTACAGCTGCACATTGGGTAATTATTATAATACAAAATATTAAAAAATAAAAATTAAAATTATATAATAATTTACAAACAGAAAATTTAAAAAAATATTCTAGCAAACATATAGAATGAAAACTCATATGTTTTTGAGTTACCAATAATTTTGTATACTAATAATATAAGTATATGTTTTATATTTGAAAATACTCTCATATTTCAATTTAAATTTATTGAATTAATTTTTATGAAATTTTATAAAAAACAATATATTCTTCATCACTAAATGGTTTAAAAGATATGTTTAGGTTTAAAAGATCTGGGATGCTTATCAAATAACTTGTTAAAGACTTGGAAATTTGAAAAAGTTTGCAGTTCTGTAAGTAGTTAAGGTATTCAACATATGGAAGTTCAAGAATAACATATAACTTTGATAGATATTAAAAATTTGCAAGAGAATTCTTTGTTTTCAGGCTGCATACAACATATGGAAGCTCATAAGATACTTACATTACTTATATACATACAAAATTGTTGGTAACTCAAAAACTGGTGAGTTTTTGATCTATGTATTTATTAGGATTTCTTATTTAATTTATTATATAGTATTTATTATATATATTCTAAATTGATTTTTTAACATTTTATATATTGTATAATACAAGATGTAAGTTAAGTTTGACCAACTTTAATTATTTCACGAACAAGAAAAAAATATAAAAATATAAAAATATAGAAAGAAATCTATATTTATTGAAATAATGCTTAAAAAATAGAAATAATCAAATATCATAATAATCTAATTTAATTCATTTTAATATTATTTTTAAAATATCCGTACTTATTTAATTTTTGTAAATTTATTTTAATATTATAGAGTTGTTATTTCAATGTTATAAAATTATAAATATAGTATTATAAAATTCATATGAATATATCGTGAATCGCGAGTTGGTCAGGCTTAAGATAAATAATTCTACACTGATTAAATAAAATATTTAGTGGCGTTATTGCATTCGTCTGGAAAATTTGGGCGATTTGAGCGTACAATTACGTGAAAGACATTGGAGGATATTTAGTCTTTCTGGTACATTGGAAACTGTTCGAGGACGAGGAGTAGTTGGTCAGGAACCTGTTTTATCAAAAATGTTACCTGCTTTTCAATATAGTAGTCATGTGAGTTTACAAGCTGCAAGTGGACATATGTGGTATGTATTTTATTAATACTTTAGATTCATAATAGAAATCTTTCTATTATGAAAATTGTTTTAAATATTTTAATATGTAATATTTTAAGAAATATTTTGTTATTTTTTAAAAATAATAATATTCAATAGTATTTAAATTTCATATATATATTTCATATATATATTTAACAAAATTAATAAAATAATGAATTTAATAAAATATTATTTCTTTTAAATTTACATAGAATATATTGTAATGACTGTTAATTAAGTGAAAAAAAAGAATATTAATTGTAAAAATATAAAAAAAAATGTAAAATAAAATTGTTAAAAATTTTCTAAGTTAATTTTATATTTAAAAAAAATTTTAATTATATAATATCATTTTAGGGGTACATTTAGAATGGAAAGAGAAGATGGGTATGCATTTGATTGTAGAATTCCACCATTTTCTTTGGAATCAAAAATAGAAAAACCACCTTCAAATATGAATTCTTAATTATGTAACGTCCCATGAGAAGTAATAATTATTTTGATATACTGAAAATTAATGAATAATATAACTTGATATATATGACTCTTATATAGTAATATTTATATTGGTTGTACTATTTGATTATAAATACTATGAGTAGAATTTAAGCTATGTAGTTTTTGGTATGCAGTAAATTTATAACAAACAATTTTTTCGTATTATTTAACATGTTATTTTAGATAAGATCAGTTATAGATATATAAATAAAATATAATTGTATAGATACATTTTCTGTTCATCCTGTAATTAATATAAGAATAAAAAAAATATAATTTCTTTAAATATTTTTAAATTTATGAAATGTCAATGTAAGATTAATAAATCTCGTATATTAAGCTTATATTGACATATATATATAAATATATGATATATTATGGGTGAATTTTTAAATATTTAATATTGAATAATATTTTTAATAAATTAAATATGATTATAGAAATATATTTGAAAACAAAAGAAATTAAATTTCTTTATTAATTAGTTCATACTTAATTGAATTAATTTATACTGAAATTGTAACTAATATTTTCTATATAAAAAATTAAAATTTTCAAAAAATTATATGTCAATAATTTATAATATTTTTTTTTCAATTTTAATGAAAAATTTTTTCATTAAACTATTAAAAGAGTAAAAGAGGTTAAAATACATACATATATTGTACAAATATTGACTATTTATATATTTATATATATATATTTTAAATTATAATATTCTAATTGATGTATAAGTGTTTTATGATATCAAATCAAAGCTTTTTTTTTTCATAATTATATTAAAATATTTTATTTTTTTCAAATTGTTTTGGAAATTGAAGCCAAAAGTTAAATCGTAATTTTTATTTCCTCTTTTATTTTCTATTAAATATAAATATTCATTTTTCAATTCAATTTTACAATATATTTTTATTTTTATTTAAATTATAAATATAAATTCTATTTAAATATTTATATTTTTGATTTGTTTAAAAATTTATAAATTAATATGAAAAAGAAGTCTTTTAAAAGAAATACAAGTTTGATTGGTTATTTCTAATGAGGATAATACAATCGTACAAATAAACACGCATATTGGCCAAAAGTATCACATCTACAGATAAGATCATATAACATCGTGTGTAAGTGACTAAAGAAGGGGAATATTCCCTTTGCCTCTGTGCCGTCTCACGGACTTCTTTCTAGTTCCTTATAGTAGATAATATTATCTTTCTTGTTCCGTCTATCAAACGAATGAAATGTATGTAACAAAAGTGGTATGCTTCTGTGATTTCTGAACTTTGTATAGTACTTAATCGAAATTCTTAATCGAATCTATTAAAATTAAAGCAAGAAGGATTCGTACATAACGATGGTTGCCTGTGAGTTATCTTTTTATTTATATTTATACATTCAATTTTCATATTTCTTTCTAATATGATAGTTGTAATACATATAAAGAAAAATCGAACTTTTCGATGTAGCGAAGATTAAGTTCTACATTTTGTTTAGCCACTCCCTGTTTTTATGAACTATTATGATATTGATAAATGCTGTTAATAAAATGTTTATTTTTCAAAAAGATTAAAATTAATTGATTTCTGATTTTAAATATTTAAACGAAAGAGTTTTTTTTAGAATATTTATAATTATAATTTCTCAATTAAATTAAAAATATATTTTCGATAAAAAATATATACATATTTTACATACATAATATACATATTAAAATATAATGTATGCTATTTTCAGAAACTTGTTAAGATATTTTGTTAAGAAAATTAAACATTATTTTTCTTAATTTATAATTATTATTATTAAATATTATAAATATAAATTATATATTAATTTTATTTTTAAGCAGCAGGTATTTTAACATCAGAAATTCTAAATCAATTACGTGCAAAATTTTATGAAGATAATCGCAATACTTTGGCACAAAATGTATGTACAAGAACTAATCCCTTGGAAGTTTGTGTTTCCCGAAAAGTTTTGCAAGAAACACAACATGTATTTACTCACAAGATTACAACAGAAGGAAAACCTATTACAAATCAAAAAAATTCTGGTCGATGCTGGATATTTTCTACTTTAAATGTTATAAGAAGTGCCTTTATGAAGCAATACAATTTAGATGAGTTTGAGTTTAGCCAAGCTTATTTATTCTTTTGGGATAAGGTTTTTATTATATTAATAATATTGCATAATATATATATATATATATATATATATATAGGTTTTTATATTTATAAATATATTTTTTATTATATAGATTGAACGGTGTAATTATTTTTTACATAATATTGTAAAAACTGCTAAAAGAAATGAACCAGTAGAAGGTCGATTAGTTTCATTTTTGTTACATGATCCTATTTGTGATGGAGGTCAATGGGATATGGTTGTCAATCTTATAAATAGACATGGTCTTGTTCCTAAAATCTGTTTCCCAGAATCATATAATTGCGAGTCTAGTTCACGTATGAATACTATTTTAAAAAGTAAACTGAGAGAATATTCCAAAGTTTTAAGAGATTTAGTATCTCGTGGTGCAACAGATGAAGAATTAGAAGCTCAGATTTTGGAACAAATGGTTGTAATTTATCGAATAATTGGTATTTGTTTAGGTATACCCTCAAAAACAATCACTTGGGAATATTATGATAAGGCAAAGAATTATAATTGCATTGGACCTATTTCACCAGTAGAATTTTATGAAAAATATGTGAAACCTTATTATAATGTAGATGATAAAGTATGCTTAGTAACTGATCCTAGACCATCTAATCCATATGGAAAACTTTATACCATAGACTGTTTAGGAAATGTTTGTGGTGGACGACTTACACTATATAATAATCAACCACCTGAATTATTAATGAAATTATGTGCAGAAAGTATAAAACAAAATGAACCTGTATGGTTTGGATGTGATGTAAACAAACGATTAATAGCTAAACAAGGTATACAAGATATGAGAGCATATGATTTTGAATTAATGTTTGGAACTGATATCCAAGTTAATCTTACAAAAGCAGATAGGTTACTTTATGGGGATTCTATGATGGTGCATGCAATGGCATTGACAGCTGTTTCAATTGATGTAAGTTAAAAAATTTTTATAAAAAATTTATACAAATATATTGATATTTTTTTGATTAATTTATATCAAAAAACATTTTTTTTATTTTAAAAAGTTATATAGTGTGTTATTTATATAATGTATTATTTATGAATATAGCATGATCAACTTCTCTTCTTTCCATTGCTATTTGTGTTATTCTTTGATTCCTGAATTATTTAATTAAATCTCAATGTTCAGATCAAATATATAGATATTTATTATATTCATAAAATTAATTTTATGTAAAGTAAAATTTTTTAAAAAAATTTAAATTTTTTTTTATTTTTTTCCACAAATTTCATTTACTATAATTTTCTATTATTTGTAATATACATATAATATTTGTATTTTTTTATTATTTATTTATTGAATTATATATTATTATTATATTATATAATTTAAGTATAGTATACAGGATAAATTTTTGATTAAATTATATGTTAAGTACGTATCAAATTATATATCAAATATTTTTTAATATTATTAAAAATTAAAGACATATGTAAATATTTATGTTTAATGATACATTATTGAATTAAATTATTTATTGAAACTTATAAGTTATAATTTTTTTTTAGAATGAAGGTAAAATTAAACAATTTCGAGTAGAAAATTCTTGGGGTGATGATCAAGGACAAAAAGGATATTTATTATTAACAGCTGATTGGTTTTCTGAATTTGTTTTTGAAGCAGTCATTGATAGAAAACTAGTACCCGAGAATGTTTTGGATGTATTTAAACAAGAACCTATAACTTTACCTGCATGGGATCCTATGGGTACACTTGCTCACTGATAATAATGTAAGCTTAAATTACTTCAAGATGGGATATTTTAGTTAACAAAAGTGTGTATATAATATTAAAAATTGAACATCAAATAAAATTTTAAGCACATTGGTACAGAAAAGTACAATAAAATAAGACTTTAACACTTTTATAGTTCATTAACAACAATTAAAATAATTCTAGAGAATTAAATTATGATTTGAATTATCTAATGCTCTTTCAGATATAAAATAATATATATTGCTGTAATTAATAAAATATTAAAACTGTATATTTAACATAGTTCCTAAAATTTAAGATGATCATGTGTATAATTTCGTTTTTAACTTATAGTTTAGATATATTTACAAATAATAACTGTTGTTTTTTTTTCTTCTTTTTTTTTTTTTTGTTACATTAAATGTCGCGCGCGTGCACATACACACACACACACACTTAAATACATAAGTTAAATATATTTAAGAATGCAGAGAAGCCAAAAAAATTAAAAATTCCATTATAGAAATATTCTAAATATTCATATATGATAAAAGCCATGAAATTTATTTAAAAAATTTCAAGAAATTTCGTAGCATTTAAATTCATATTTAAATATTATTCATATATTACATTTCTGTTTCAAATGTTTGCAAATTAAAAAGACTTAATAATTGTATGAAGATTAATAAAAATGTTGAAAATATATATGTTTATTAATTTTAATTTAACAGAATATAATATTTTTTATTAACATTTATTTAATAATTACAAAAAATACATTTTTGAAAACAATATTTTCATATTATTTATTTTTAAACATAAATATCAAATTTAATTAGCCTAATTTTAAACTATTTTTAAAGATTTTATGAAATTAATATTGATTACTAAGTTTTATGCCGTTCTTTTTGTATTTTATAACAATATTTAAGTTTTGCCCATATACCTTGACACATATTTTGTAAACGAATATCATTCTGATTTATAGAAAACTTATAAATATGCTTTACTATCTGTTTTGGGGTTTTTAACTGACCTTGTTGAATCAAACTTAAAGCAATATATAATTTACAACGAGCAACTAGAAAAGGATCTCTAAGACGAAGCGCCAGTTCAAATTGTTTTATGGAAATTTTTCCTGCTATTTCAGCCTGCATAAGAAAAAATATTATGTTTAAATAAAATTTCATATTTTTTCTTAAATTATTCCAAAAATTACTATAAATCAATCAAATTTTATTTATTATTTTTTAATATATTTCATAAGAATAGAAATTACGCAATATTGAAATTCTTCTCCTAAAGCAGAAAATGCTCCACCTAAAGTAGATAACCAAGACATAGCATGATCAACTTCTCTTCTTTCCATTGCTATTTGTGTTATTCTTTGATTCCTAAAGTTAAATTTCATTTTACTGTACAATTTCATAACATTGAAATAAAAAGATTTTGATTAAATCAATATTTGAAATCTTACCATTTGTAATCTAAGAATTGTTTTCCTGGCATTCGCAATTTTATTAGAATCATTTTTGAATCTACTTTATTTAATAATTTGTATGTTAAGTATTGTAATAATTTTTTAAATGCAGCCTTTCGATATGTTTGTGAATTTATTAACGTTGTAATATATGCTGATATAATATAGGCATTAAATCCTTTTCTGTTTAAGGAATTTCTATTTACTTGTACTACATTACTTTCATTGACATTGTTCATATTAATATTTGTTTGATATATACTTTTAGTTTCTCTTGCTTTTTGTTCGTATTTAATCACAGAATAATATGTAATAATAATGCTATCGAAAATTGTGCTGCCTTTATGTATAATTAATTTTATTGAATCATCCATTTTTTTTATTCAGTATATGACAATAAATGACTTTTTAAATAAATGACAATATTGCTTCATTATATATGAAGTCATTACTATATAATAATATAAATTATACATATTAAAAATTTATATCACAAATATTGTTTCCACTAACACTATACGTTTTTTGTAAATATTGGTTATAAATTTTATATAAATAAATTTGATGACAGTATTTAATTTGTAAAAAAATTGTACTGATTGTTTCTATTTTTAACATTTCCAAAACATTTTTTTTATGTCTTGTCTTTTACGCAAATTTTTGAGTTAACAATTTAAGGTTAGAAATTAATTCGATATACGCGTGTTAATGATAACAAGATGGTAGAGATGATAATATTAAAATGATGCAAGTTACTATAATTAAAATTAAAACAATAGCATTTTCATTTTTGAAATTATTAATTTTTAAACTTAGGTTTAAGTATCTTACACATGTACACACACATACATATATATATAAATATATATAAGCTTTATGATATGTACTATGAATTCCTATTAAATGTATTATAAGAAATATATAAGATATATCTATTTATATTAATTTTCAATAATATAAATGATTAAATATTATTTAGAATATACATACATCTTTGAACGGCAATTGTAATAATAATTGTAGTAATAATTTTATTTTTACATGTTTAGTTATAAAATTTATTAAAATCTAAGTTTCTATTGACATACACGTATATATATATATATAATATTCATGATGACATCGATACATAACATTTAAAAAATTAAATATTTATTCATTAATTATTCACATATGAATTATTCGATCTTTAATAATTCTTTAATAAAATGAATTAGATTAAATTATATTTTGGTAAATAAAAGATATAGTTTAGAAAAAGAAATGGTATATATCTTATAATACAAAAAATAAGAATAGTAAAATAAGATTAATTAAAAAATGTGCATAATATTTATATATGTCAACATGATTTAAAAAATTTATTATATTGAAAATATTTGTTAATAAATTACAAATATTATTTCACTTTTTTTTATTTAATCATTTTGAATGATGCAATCTTATTGGTTGTTTATCATTGTATATACATCAACGGTTATCAACGTAAGCAAAATATATATGTAATGATATAAAGTATATTAATAATATAATAATAAATATTAATAATATAATATAAAATAAAAATAAATAATATAAAATATTTAAAATTAAAAATCATTATCAAAATAATACATACACACACACACACACACACATACATCAATTGTATAATTACTTGATTAATAATATAAATCATAAATTATACAATTCAAAATATATTTTGATTATTATATATTTTATACTATTTTATATACTATTATATAAATTGTTATTATTTCAAGTGTTGTAAGTGTTGCAATAAACTTTATATAGAAAAATTTATTTGAAATATATAGAATTGTATAATTAATTATAATTATTTATATTCCTTTTGTATTTTATATCATATATATATTTATATTTTCATTCCATAATACTTATATTTATCAATCAATAGTTTTAAAATATATTTTTATATATTATAATATATATAAATAAAAGATGTTATTGAATAATTATTTATTTAATTACAACTAATTTATAAATATTATAAAATAACTAATTATTTACATGACATTCGATTTTTAAAAATTGATAATTTTAAAATTATTCAAATATTTTTATATAATTAAAAATAAAAAAAACTATATAAAAAAATTATTTTATGTATTATTCATAATTTGAATAAGTAGAGAATTAAAATAAGATATTAGAATATATATCACAATTAAATAAAATTATGTAGTTCAGGGTAATATAAAACATGTTTTGCGCCACTGTGCGCGTTATACGATAGCGCAGTTATTGGCATTTCCCAAAATTTAACCGACCAGTCATGAACAGCAATCTGAACACACCTCTGCAACGAACCAATCAGAGAACTAGTATCTATTGTTACGGTATGATAATTGGGGCAACGTACAACAATTGAAATTCACTTAATTGCATTATATTTGTAATAAAATAAAAAAGAATCTCTTTTGAAAAATTTATATGCTTTTTAAAGTTGCTTTTAAGCAAGTATTTTGTATAGATTTTATATTACAAACAGTATTGTCGGAAGGTAAGCGTTTGACTTGTACGTCGCTGGATGTCTACAAGTACCCCACCTTGTGATTCGGTCTAAACTTTGACGAGATACCTCTATTGGTATTGGGGTCTCCGACTCGATCGTAGCAAGTTGGATTTACCCCGTTTCTCACTAAGAAAATTGCCTTGCCCAATTTACGTTTTAAATTGAAACATTTACATATTTCTGCCCGTTAGTTTTTTTCAGTGAAACTCAAAAGACAAAAATTATAGCGGTAGGCGGGTTGCAAATTTTCTAAATAGAGCGTCTCATTGCTGACATTTCTTACATTAGACACGCGACGGCCAGGTATGGCGTTTTTGAGAACGGTGCCGCGTTGCAGTGCCGGTAAAAAGTTAAGGAAATGTTTACCACTTCCTATTGGGTTTCTCGAGAACATAACGAAGCCATCGGTGCAGTTGGTGCAGGTGCACGAACGTGAATACACCGGCACTACTACTGACGTGAAGCCGGCTCCACGACAGATTGATCCTTTGGATTTGAAGTTTAACGATCCAATTGCTGCTTTTAAAAGTAAAACCACGAAAGAACTGCTTCGTGCCTACGTCGTTTATCAACTATGTTCGATCGAATATATTGTTGAGAACAATATGAAGGTAAGTTTTTAATATCATTTTAATTTAATGTTCTACATGATTATTTTGCAAATTACATATTATATATTTATTAGATATAAATTATTCATATGACATATAACGATATGAAATAATATGACATGTGATTGTTCTTTATAAAGTTTTCTTTCTCTTCTCCTCTTATTTCCTTATATTATTAAAATAAATTACATATTTAATATATTTAATATTAATATTATCATTAAAAAGTTGTAAAATTTCGTACTTTTATAATATTTGTCAAGAAAATGCATAGATAAATTTATTAATATAAATTTCAAAAAAATATTTTTCTTATGTTTAATGAAATATTTTTAAATCTTTTTTATCATTTAAAAATTTTTAATCTATAATATTTAATATAATAAAATATTGATTTAGATCATGTGATATAATCATGCATAACATGAAGAATATAAAAATTTCTATTTTATTTGATATTATTACTTATATTTAAAATAATTTTTTCATACATAAATTATATGTATATATATATTAATAATAATTTTATTAAAATAACTTAAATTTTCATCATAAATATTTTATTATATTAAAATAATTGTAGTTGTTAATTAAAATGATTTTGAATTAATGAAATTTTTTATCTTTATATGAATTATATATATAATTGAAAAATCAATCAATGAAATTGAAATTTTTAATAATTAAAATTGAAATTGTAATATTTTTATTTTAATGAAAAAGATGAAATACATACAAAATTAGATATTAATAAAATTGATTAAATTCAACTCTAAGAATAAAATTTAATTTTTCGTGAAAAATTATGCAAATAGGATTTATATGTTATTTTATATTACCGGAAGGAAGTTGTTTATAGTTTCTATTTGTTCGTTACACAATATGTATAGATGTCGGAAGAATGTACTATCGAATAAAATACTAAAATATATTTAAAACGGAAGCATCGATTAATCGATTTCTTATTTCTTTTCAAAGAAATAGCATTTTGAATATATTTCGACTAAATTTTTATTCATTAAATTTTTATGTAAAAAAGAAATTTTTACTTATCAGGTGAAACAGTGACTTTTTATCAATAGCATCAGAATTCATAGACAATTTATATGACGTGGCGCATTATTGATTTTAGTAATGCTTAATACATTGAATTGAGCTAACAATTTTGTCGCAAACTTATGTGGTAGTCAATTACGTAACATCAAAGAAATCGGTCGTGTATAGTGGATTGTAAAAATCTATATAAGTTCATTGGTAAGCTATCGAGATGTTACTATTACTATATAAACGTAAACTTTTTTTCTAGCGTATTTTAATTGTAATTAAATTTATTAATTTACTTTCAAATAATATAATAATAATATAATCAAGAATTTATATAAAATATTTCTTACTATTAAAAATATTTCTATATTCATATAATTTTATAAAATAATTTATAATTATTATATTAAATATAAAATATAAATATTTTTTTCTATTTATTGGTGATTAATTTAAATAAAACAATTGAACGAATTGTATGATAGGAATATTTTTTTAATTTATAATTTATTTATAATTTATTTTTTGATAATTATGAATTCTTATTAGATTTAATAATATTTTTAAAAAATGTTTTTTTTTAAATTATAAATCTTTTATATAGAATATTTATATAGGAAATTTATTTAGAAAATGAATTTTTCATATGTTTTTAAATTTTATAATAAATAAGAAATATGCTTGTTGTTATGCTTAATATGTTTATTGGAAATAATTAGGATTTTTTTTTAAATTATAAAATATCATAGACTGAAATATATTTGTGCCCATTCGTGACACATTAATTTTGTCTTTGCCATTGTATCGATTTTAATTTACATCGGCTTTATGCTTGTTTGAGGACAGGATTATTTAAGTTCTGTTCTGAATATCATTACTAATACGCTAATGTGATAGAGATATTTAGAAATATGCAATAAGTGTTAATCTATAACACTAACAAGTATCGTATTACTATTTAATGTTATTGAAAAAACCACTAAATTTTTTCAAAGTAAATGTTAAATGGATTATATATGTATACAATAATAATAATAAATTTTGCATTATAGGATATAAAAGAATATGAAATTCAGAATATAAAATTCTATATTATATCAATACAAAAGTTATAACAATGTGCAAAGTGACAATTACAAATGAGAGATTAATCGTTTTAGATGATATTTTTTTCTTTATTTTAGTTCTACGGAATTTTTTTTTTCGTTTTATTTCCGAATGATGCCGAAATGTTATGTGTATGGCTAATAGAATCGTTTTATTATTGCATTCATTAAATATATATATATATATATATATATATATATATAATCATTGCACAAAAACTAATTTATCATTTAATTATAGTACGCTATTTTATTAATGCATTAATAGAAGAATGCGTATATATATATATATATATATAGATATTTGATAATTCACTTCCTATCCTGAATATATAAACCTTCCCACACTTTATTGATTATTATTGATTTTTAAAGTGCGACATGATTCCTTAGCGTCTTCATTTCAGACTCTTGGACAACGGAGCCAAGCATTGTCTTTTTGCAATATAATTATTCGAGAAATATTTATTTTGATATTTGTGCCATATTTATTTTTTAAATTAATTTTCAAATATATGTCCAATTTATTTATTGTATTGATAAAACAAAATAGATAATTAATATCTAATATAAAATATATATGGAGTTTTTTTCGTAATAGAAATAATAAAATTAAATATAATTAATAATTATATAGTGATTTCTTTTTAATTTATTTAAATTATGATAATAAATTAAATATGTCAGTTAAATAAAAATTCTCTAAGTTTTATATGCGTGTAATTAATTGATTCTGCTTTTTTAATCTTATAATTTAATTTTATAATTTATGCTTTTTAATCTTATAATTTAAATGTTAAATCATAAAATGACATCAAATAACATCATGATCATTTATGAAATTTTATTAATAATTTTCGTATGAATATCTTAATCCTAGTAACTGATATTATTTTTTTATTTAAATTTCTATTTTTTTTATAAAAATATTTGATTATTTATATCATATGCAATACCTATTTATTATACCTATCTAATTATATAAATGCATGAATTTTTGATATGTTTTTATTTATCATTGCACATCTATTAAACATGTAATTAGTATTTTGTATTAATTAATTTCAAGTATCAATTTAGAGATTAGAATCGAAACTTGATTTTTGGATTTACAAAATTAGAATCCGAAATTACAAGAAATTTCTATCACTACTTTCAATGTCTCGACTATGAAGCCGCAAACTTTTGTTTACAAACACAGTAGATATTATTCATTCTTCAGTGAATTACATTTTAGTCTTAATTGCATACATACGCGAAAATTTTCAAACTCAATTTTTTCAAAAACTATTTTGTTTATTTTGTTTTTTTATTTTTTCTTGAGGAATCATCTCATATATGTTATTTATCTACTATATATTTTCTTTAAATTATACGATAGAAATAATGAGATATTATAAATTTTTTATTTTTTGAAATTTTTATATATATTATTTAATAGTTTATAATAGTTTATAAATTATAATAATAAAAATTCTTTAAAAAAATTTAATATTTTATAATTAAAAAGTTTTAGTAAAAGGCATATTAAAATATTGAAAATATATTTCTTGAAAATATTATATATTATTTAATGTTCAGCACTCATGTATTAAATTAATAATGATAACAATAAATTAAAAAAGTTATTAAGGTACTATTAATTTTATTATGCAATATATAAACTAATAATTTTCAAAAACATCGTATTAATATTTAATATATTAAAAAAAAATAAAGAAAAATGATTATTGGGTACGTATATAAAAGATATTATTTCGTAATATAATAATATGTGTCTTTGATAGTAATGCAAATTAAAGGTGGTAGATCAAATAGGATTTAGTATGTGACTACATATAATTTATAGATAATTTATATCTTTTGATTTCTATCTTTATTCTAAAGCTTTTTAAATGTTTGTTTTAATTCAGGAAATAGTTTTAATTAGTTAAATCATTTTTATTCAATATTGAAATATAAAACGAAATAATATTTCTACTTTTAAATTAAAAAAAAAAATAAAATCTTTTCTTACTATGCAATTATTTATACTAGTATTCATCGACCATTAGATTTATTATTTTTATATTTTTTTGAATTATATAATATTATTTTATTTTTTTTTGTTATTATATTATTATATTATTTTATTATTTTATTTATTTCTTTTAAATAATAATGATAATTCACTTTTGTAATTTTGAAATATTGCATAATGTATATATTATGTTATTTATATATTTATATTATAATATTATATAATATAATATAATATAAATCTGAAAATGATATATATTGTCATAATTCCAGAAATTATTATCATGAATTTATGTTATTATAATGTTATAACATATATAAAATATATTATACATATTTATAATAATAATAAATTTTGCTAAACTAAATATTTTTCTAAATATTTCATATTTAATACAAATAGAAATTTACAATTATATATGATGAATTATTATAATATTATATAGAAAATTGAAAAAATAATTTAATCGAAATAATTCATTCGAATAGTTCATCATTCAAAATTTAAAAATATTTTGAATAAATATGGATATGAAAATTTTATACAATATATATAATATATAATGCAATAAAATTTTATACAATATATAAGTTTAAATATATAATATAATTTATATAATTTATTAAATTTTAATTAATTTATTAATTTAATATAAAAATTTAAGAAACAAAATTTGAAAAATTTAGAATTTTTAAAAATTCATAATTAATTAAAATTTATCAAATTAAAAATTTTTTATTCAAAGTTTTATGTTACATTTTTCGATAACTTGTACGTATTTTATAATTTCTATTTGTATCTTTATTATAATATATTTTTTTTAATCGCAT